CGCATTTTACTCAGGACGCTGGTCCTGTTTCCCCCTACTGGAAAAAAGAAGAAACTGCAGATAAAAAACAACTACAGAAGACATGATTCCGCGAACGACGTCTGAAATATCGTCTTGGCTATAAATATTGCTGCAAGTAATCTTGTATTTATAATGTCGTGTGTCTCGTACACTGAAATTCTTTTAACTCACGACGGATGTTTTTTTTTCCTAGCTTGCTCGTTCGGATTTTACTGTCGTCTATGAGCCACTGACGACAGCGATTATTTATTGGTTAAGGCCCCTGGCTAAATGTTTCTCCACTTTACCCCTGACCTCCAGCAGTACATCACGCAGAGATTCACTGCGCTGCAATCAGCTGACGAACGGGCCTTTTTATAGAGGTGTCCATAACTACCCAATGGAAAAAAAAAGTGTGAGCTGGTATTTATTGGCTTCTTTTGGTAGGGGTGTCTGAGCTTTCATACACAGTGAAAGGACTTGTGTTTATTTATTAACTCTGAGATTATGGCATCTTCTAGCACTTGCTGAAAAACAGGCAATAAAGCAGAGGACAAGCAATATTGCAGATTTTACAAGAGCTGTCTTTAGTGAAAGCAGGACCAGCTGGAGCCCCGAGGCCTTGAGATCATATTGCTTGTGAGAAGCCCTCCGTCAGTATTCATGTAGCGCAGCAATCTTTAGTGTGCAAGACTTTGTAATGCATGTTGGCATTACATAATGGGTTTTCAGTACAAATTCCGATTATGACTGAATTGCAGAAAACACGTTTATTTCTACATGTACAGTATATATATATATGCATTTATTATGTAATTATGTTATTCTTATGTGATTACGTTATTAAGGATTGCCTGCACACTGCTTGCATTCTATCAAGTGCACCATGTCGTTAGGTATAACCCAGGCTTTTCGGTGAATTTTATTTTGCACATGTTTTGTTTTAATTGCTGTAGTAAGGTAAGTTTGAGGAGAACTTTACAGTCTACCGAGGAAGAAAGCTGATTCTTCAGCTTCTGTTTTCAGTTGTTGTTAAGTTTGTTCTTGCAGGTACTGTACTCTCTGGGAGACTTGGTAGGCTATGCTAAATCAATACACATGAAACTGTGAGCTGTTTCCTTTAAAGCCTCATTTGCACTTTGAAAATAGTCAGGAAATGGAAACGACATGGAAAAGGGAGAATTTGAGAGGGCAGGCCATGTTTTTCAGTGCTATTTCTATGAGCTGAGAGCCTAATTAAACACAAGCAATACCCACTATAGCAGAACATACCTGAATCTGTCTGTATTCTGTAAATGCTGATCAAGGAAGATTTGCTTTGAGTATCGTTAACCCAGTATATGCGCCCTTAAAAACCTGATTTGAATGCAAATACTGCTTTTTTACATTGTTTTTACTGTTTACGGTAACCAAAAATGTCTAACATTTTATATCTTCCTGAAAAAAATCCTCTGAATGCCATTACAAAATACACATTGTATTTTGTGAAGGCATGTTGAAGGAAGAAATTATTTTAATCTTATGATATGTTCTGTGACTCTGATGATTTTGAGCAAATTAGGTCTCGCCGGAATTATTGGTGGTAATTGCAACAATTCAGTTTACGTTGTGGGTCTTTGTAAAAACATTTTCCAGAACATATTTCTGTGTGCTGTTTGCAGGAATGTGTAATGCTGGAAGTAAGCCTGTAAATGCTCGTTTCAACAGCATCTAAAATGTCCATGATCTCTATCTGGTTTCACAGGAATATTAAAGTCTGAATGATATTATCAGTTAAATGCATTGAAAATGGAAAATGTCAAGAAGTGCTTCACCTGATTTGCCGAAGCAATCTCCCAGACATATTTTGACTCTGATTGGTGTATACAGGCATGATTACAATGGAAATCAAGGCTCAATGCTGTCTGTTCCTTGCTTGGAAGCTGATTTTCAGTGTTTACCTCCAGTGAATTATTTGCTTTGAATTTCATGTACGTAAAATGAATCTGTAGGCATTACAAAACTTGCAAGCATATCGTGTGGGAAGAAAGAGGGGTGAGACATTTTTTCCGTATTGTCTAGGATTTCTGTTTTCATTTTATTGATTTGAGGTACAGTATTATTTTCTGAATCCAAAGCTAACCTTTGTTTGGGAGAAAATGGCTTTGAATTCTAGTCATTTCCCCTCATTGGGTCACATTTTTCAATTATTGTACTTTTATTTCACATAAATATGTATTTGTTGGCACATTATTTCCCTTAGACGAATGCACCAAGTTCTTGAACCCTTTATGAACATTTAAAAACCAATATGACAGGGCTGTATTTTTGTGTAAGTACCTCTTTATTTTGATCTTTAGCTGAGGCTTAATATTTCTGATGCAATATTTTGACAGTCCACATAAGTAAACTCAGCTTGCATAGTCATTAATACATATAAGCCCTGTAGCCCTTAGGCAAAACCAAAGGGTACTCCCCTTGTGGCATTACCCTGGGCAGGACATTATATTCTGAGGCAAAAGGCACTTACAGCAATTTTAATAGCAAGGGAATTGGTAATAAAAGGTTCAGTCCAGTTATGTTAAGGTTTTCGTATTCAAACTCGGAAACAACAAGAGTCATGTCTATGAGAGGCACACGAGCAAGGGGCCTGAAGAACAATTACTGACAAGTGTCACTGTGAATGACAGCCATGAGCACAAGGTGTTCTCTTTTCCATACATGACACGTGGGTGCTTGGTCACATAGAAGGACCGAAGCAGCCTGCTCTAACTAGGAGATCCCCAGAGGTTGTTAATGGAGCCTGTAAGTGACGGTTCAACAGAACAGCATTCATTAATTACATATTGCATTTAATAAGGCAGAGAGACGTGTTCTGCCATGTGATTTCTCAGTTCGTTCTTCTGGCCTGGTAAAACGTTGTCCTGTCGTCCCCCCCCCCCCACACACACACACACATACACGGTCTGTTTCGCAATTAAATGATGTCCATTACAGCTCTTCGATAAGAACTCAGTCCACCTCTGTGCTCAGAAATCCTCCACGCGGTTTACCTCAAAAGCCATTTGCTGTATCCCAGCTTTAATGAAGAAATATTTTTTTTTTATTATGACAGAGGGTCTGTCTATTTTAGCTTTGATGTTGTGCTCGCCTTTCTATTTTTAGCTTTCCAGTGTCCCCCTCTACAGTTTACACCCAGGTACAGTAATACATGCATAATCATTTATAATACAAAACTGAGGACAGTTTTTTTTTAAGTGATGGTCTACAATCTACAAGGGTTTATTTTTCGGGTTGTAGGTTTTCCTCTTGAGTAGTGTAAATTTGCCCATTGACAGTTTTCTCTATAAAACCCATCACAGCCCTAAGGTGGGGCCCTGCTTTGTGCCTGCAGTGGACCTCTTCACTGGCCATGTCCCCAGCTGTGGGAGTTAGGGGCTCATCTGGCTGTGAGAAGCACTGGTCCCTGTACCTGTGTCCATTTTCTGCTCTGTGCTTCCTGCGTGCTCTGCTCTTCCGTAATTCCTGCAGCCTGTTGGTCACGCTCCCACCCCTTGCTATCCTGGCCCTCTCGTTGCTATGTTACAGTAGCTCCGTGACTCCCTGTAAGTCCCACACTGCCTCAGCCATCTCTGGTCTGCCTGTTGCGTCTTTGGCTAACAGCAGGGGTTGGGCTCAACAGGTTTCAACAACAGTCGTCAGAGACTCCAGGGAGTTTGGCTTATGGTTTCCTCTAATGACGAGCCGGGTTGATTTTTCCTGCATGCACTTTAAAAACCAGTAAAATATCCAGGACCTTAGCAGAAACACCTCAGACCGGTCCAAGACTCTTCCTCTGGTCTTTCATTCCTGCAGCAGGTGTGGGGTTATGGCGATGTGATCATTGACCCTGAACTCGTCTTAAAACATGGAAAGAAAGGTTTTGTGTGTCTGTTTGGATGTAAGAAGGATAGACCCAACTGACGGCACCTGCTTGCTCTGTGAGACATTCTCCGCACTGCAGTCGTGCAGGGAATTACAGAGATTTTGTGATAAATTGCGACCCTAGCACTTAATAGGTGGTTTAATTTTGAGCCGACATTGTGTCATGTCTTTGGCAGAAATCGAGCTGGCAGCGGTACTCCTCAGTACAATGGACCACTGCGTTCATAAAAATTGAATCTACCTAAATTAAAAAGACAAATGTATTCTGGAACCTGAAATGCACAATTCACCGGTGCTCATCTAATTTTTTACATCGAGAACTACAGCAGGGTTTTTTTTTTCTGCAATCTGTCAGGTACTGCGTATTTCTCACCATTTAGACTGACGTTTTTTGTTTCTGTTCTGTTTAACAGCATACTCACAAACACTGTGCAACATAATATTCAAACATAATTCAACAAATCAAAAACCCAGAACCCTATACCCCAGATTTTATTTGAAGTCCTGGCTCCACCTGTTGCTCAGTAAGAAAATTTCGTCACTCGTGGCTGAGTGAAGGTCACTTTAGTTTCAACGATGACATCCTCAATATGTTTTTTTTTTCTTGTGTTTCTGCTATTTAATAATATCGCCGGTGTCTTGGAGCACTGAACTCAATAGTTCTCAATATGGGGCAGGATTTTATGGGGGGAATTGTCAGGAATTGCAGGAAATGATCGACACAAAATAAAAAAGATAACTCAACACAATTTTTACAAAAATACAAAACGGGGCTCTGCTTTCTCTATGATAGGTGTTAAAAACACAAAAGAACAAGTGGCCAGCGACATAGGCTAAATCATGGAAGTTACGGGAGGGGTTGTATTAGACGCTGTTTGGATCGTAAACAGCGGCACACCCAGTTAAAACTAGACATTTTTACACATCAGGAATTAAGGTTAAACGAATGCTTTTTAATATATATATATATTTTTCCAAGAAAATTCAGTAACGCCAGCCCCGAATTAAAGTAGTTTCGTTGGCCGCAGGGCCGACGCCATTTCTGAAGAACCGCTGAGGCCCGTGTGAAGATAGTAATGGCGATTTCGCCTCCAAGATGAACCCGTACAGTCACAGCCTTAAACCAGAACTTAAGTGAAAAGCAGACCAGGGCTGTGGGATTTACCATGAAGGTGTTATAAGGGATCTTGCAGAAACATTTTGGATTTGTCGGGATAGATTCCGGCTCACCACCCCCCCTCCCCCCGGGGCCCTGTATTACGGGAGAGAAAATGGATGGGCGGAGAAGACGACTTCGCTTCTGAACACCCGCGGCTCGTTTTTAAACCCATCTTCGGTTTCGACGTTTCCAAAATGTCGCCACATTTTGGAAATAACATTTTGGCATAACTGATTTGGCCGTGTTGTGCGCAAACTGTTCCGGCTAACGGCTATTCTCTCTGGCGCGGGCGAACCGAAGGCCTCCGACGACCCGTCTAACAGCCCTTCATGTTTATTTCTAAAACAAACTGAAATCTTCTGATCTCATCATTACATTTGCGAGGGCAAATGGAGAATGGAAAGGCAAACTGAAGTGGTGAGTCAAATTTCTGCAGGCTTTTATTATGTAATAATATAATAAATGTTATACAGTACGAAGGCAGAGCGAATGAACACAGTCAAGTGCCTTTTTAAAGTGATTGATTTCGGGAAGTGATATTTTGAATCCCTGGGGTTCAGATCATTTGGGTTGCTGTTCATCTTTTGGTATTTTAGCAGACGCATTAAAAAAGTGATTTGATTTTTATTTCCACCAGTCTTGATGTTTCTTTAAAAAAAAAACTCTACAGCGTGTTTGACCAAATTAATATTTAAGGAATTGAGTCGTTGCTTTTCTTACTTTGCGTTGTGAAATATTATAATAACGGGCGTGCAATAAGGCCCGGTGTTCTTTGTAGTATTAAGTTCCAGAAATGGTGGTACTTTCACTTTTTTTCAGAAGTAAAGTAGTAAATAAATTCGGTAATAAATATGTAGCAGACGGTTTGGGTGAACGGTTGGACACTTTCGGTCCTGACGTCCAGCAAATAAATACATAAAATTAATTAATCTTTTTCAAATCCGCGCGATTGAGCCTGAATTTGTTTTCTTTTTGATCGTGCGTTTCCATATACGCGATAGCCTTGCCGTTATATTAACAGTACTGGTATGCTGATGAGGATTCATGCTTCCTAGCCATTCAAAGAAATCACTTTATAATCCTCGATTCAGTTATTTGCAAGCAGTTCAGACTGGAGGGCTATCACGAACCCAGCCAATCTACATACCTAATGTGTTACTGAATATATATATATATCCTCTATGCGAGGTGTCTATTGGTAGAATTGGAGTACGTCTATACTGTACTCGTAAAACTCGTGTATCATTTACCTAATTCAGGTGGGCAGCTGCGTCACCATGCGTAAGCTGCAAAGGAACAAGTAATAGGCTTATTCCTTGCTGAAAAGAGGCTCCACGGCCGAAACGTTGTGTTTTCTTTCTTCTCTTTTCAGCATGAAATAAGCCTATTGCTTGTTCATTTATCTAATATACCATAAAGAACCTACGTTAATTCATGTATTGTTAATGAGGAAGTGAAATCAATATCTGAAAGAGCGCACACGCACCAGAAACAGGCATTTCTGCTGTTAGTATGTAACGTAAAAATCCTCTCGCATTATATCAAGGAAAACAAAGAGTCCATACACGGGAAATCCTCAATGCATATCGATCGATTTAATTGTTAGTTTAAGCATAGCAAAGCGCAGAAGTAAAAGAAGCTTGAAAAAGACAATCAATATACACTGTAATACTCTCAAAGGGGATTGCTTTTGTATTATTTTACTATACACCAGCATTATACACCCCATTCAATCCTTCAGTTCTTTAGTGCAGTTAATTGTTCATCTCCCCAGTCGGTTTATAATCGAGGAGCTGTCTGTCAGGAAGTATTCCACCGCTGCAGTCTGATGAGGCTGGCTGGACAGCAGCAGTAATTGCTCCATCCTTCTTCTCTCCCCAGATGTTCAGATTAATAAAACACCGCTACCTCGCCACGGCCGGCGCTCTGTGATGAACGAGGGACAGGCTGAGGCGTGGAGTCGGAGAGGGCGGAAAATCAAGATCTAGGTATGAGCGGGATCGTGCCCAGGACAGTGTCGGCGCACTGGAGCAGCAAGGAGTAAAAACCGCTTTAGCGCTTTCATTGGCGGTTCAGGAAAATGAGTGACACAGAGGGTGCGGTAGTTGGCGGTTTTTAGGACCCTGAGTTTAGGACCGTGGTACCTTCTGTACGGAGTTTGCGTGTTCTCCCTTGCTTTTTGTCCCCATCAAAGACTTGCCGTCGAGTTTACCTGTGTTTTGGCTCATCCTCGGTGTAGACCCATGTTGTGTGCTGTGCTTTCAAGACGGGATCTGCCAAGAACCTTATCGGGAACAGTGGCTTCCCCATAATGGGTGAACTGGAACAATAGTGGTGATGCTCTTCTAAGCACAACCTTTGATACCATTTGTGGAATGGGGAAAAAAGAATAGACAAATGTTGCATAAAGTAATGAAAAGCTTTGAATTTAACCATATCCTAACCTGTGCTAAGGATTGTTTTATATGGGTATATTCAGGCAGTCCAGTGACATAAGTGTTTATTAATAACAGGTATTTCCTTTGTACAATTACACTGCAGTATCACCTATTCTTTTCAGTCTGTTAATCCAAGGTGTGTAGGGGAGTGTACTTTCAAATAACTGATTATGTTCATTAACCAAGACAGCAATGCACAGATACAGTATATTGCCCATTTTATATTATTCCATATAAAAAAACATGAAGCAGCTTCATCAGCACTGAGCCCTAGGTCATTTCCTTTCCCCTTTAAATCCATTCAGGTGCACACAATATAAATCAAATGTCACCTGTCAATCAAATGTCACCCGTGTTTCCATATATGCGATATCAATCTCACTTGGTAGTTATTTATTAGCATGGTGATCGGGGTGTTCAGCGAGCCTGAAAGACTCCATAGGGTAAAAACTAGGGATACCCGATTATTGCGTGATCCCCAAAAAATCAGGGGAAATGAGATTTTGGGAGGTTTCTTTAGGTCTGCCGCGACGCATTATGTTGCCGTTCTCTTGTGTCTGAATCGGCCTTTGGCATTCCTCTAATCTCATTTCTGTCCACTGCCGCCTCGATGGTGCTGTTTGACATCTTCGATGCTGGTGTTGTGACCAATGTAACGCTGCAGTTTTCTTACCGCGCTAAATCAAGCATTCGAGGCAAAAGCTCAAATGTCGAAGTCCAGGATGCTTCCGATCTCTTCTCTCTGGTGTGGGGAATAAAGTGCTGCTAAAATGTGCGAATCCAGTTTTACATGAGCAGAGATTCATGACTACGTTGCCCTTATTTCAGCAGTCAGGAAGCACATCCTATATATACATACACACGTGTGCAAATATATAGGCAAAATACATTTTGCTCTCCTTTTTTACATTAAAATGAAGCACATGAGCATGTTACACAGGAGGTGGAAGGAAAGCTCATTATAACTTACTCTCAAAAATTCAAAGAGTAGCACTGCACATAGAGGCTGGGGTGCAGGAGTGGGAAAACCTGCACAAGGTGGAGATGGACTGCACAGTCTCAGGCTTGCAGCCCGGTTCCACAAACTGTAACCTTAGCAACAACATGGTTTAACACAGAGTGGCGTGCACCAGGCAGCAGCAGCAGCAGTCTATGCAAATGCTCATATGGGTCTGACAAATGCCTGTGCTTAACGTCCTTTGCATTTATTGTATTATTATTACTGTATCTTTTGTTACACTGTGGCAGTGTTGTCTGTGTTAAGCTGCTGTTGCACTGCAATTTCTCTCAGAGGATCAATAAAGTATCTATCTATATACATAGCATGTAAGGATGTCTGCAGCTTTTGGAGAGTTTTGACCCCTGAATCCTCATTTGAGTTTGTGAGTTATGTTCAATCTTGCCTTATATGTTGGGGGGGGGCAGTGAACAGAACAACACATGATCAGCACAGCTGGTCTTCATTCACCTTTATATTTGTACTATCTAAAATATTGTCGTATTTTTATTTAAAGAAAGTTGTGATTTTGAAATAATGGATTTGGTCCTGATGATGGCCTGAAATGAGGTTCTGTTAAATTACATCTATAGTGAAATCAGGCATGCTCTCTCAGGATATCTAAAGATGATTAAGTCTCTACTCATGAGCAGTAGAACACATGGCAGTAATTGTTTGCCTTGATTGCATTATTTCTCTTGATAAAAGGGTAGATAACCTTTCATTACTGGCACTGAATGAGTCAACGGGCAATTGCAGCTGTTGGAAAGTGGTGTAGTTTTTTTTCCACAAATGGAGAAGAGTGGGAAACAAGCCCAGAAATGTAAATGAATGATATTTTATATTCTCTTGCTTTATTTAACAAAGGTTGTATAGAGGTAGATCTCATTTTATGTGGCTGATAACATTGCTGAAAAAAGCTGCACAATTCAGAAGCTCGTAAGTTAAAAACGTAATTCCCAGAAAGAATGCGTAGAAAGAGAGAGAAATGTGTTTTGGGGTCCACTCCAAACCAAAGCGTGGAACAGATGAAACAGTTACACAGATTTATTCGTTAGATGTTTATATACAGTAGTCATATTCAGTCCTTTAGCTCTCAGTGAGTCTTTTAAATTTCTTTTTTTTTTAATCTGATAAGTGCCATTACAGATAATATTTTCTCCTTCAGGGTTTTAGCGGATTATTAATGGTAGACGTATTGAATTGTTATAGTATTGAATGTTAAGTTTGATTTTATTTTTATTTTCTTTAGATGACTAAATTTGCAGGGTTTTAAATAAAAATGAATTGCAATCGATTTCACTAAGGTTTTTTTTTCCCCTCACAGTAGCTTGTCTTGTTTTGTGTGCAGGCCAGGGGGAAATGTTGGTCAGGACACCAGGGTTACATCCCCTACTCAGGTTTCGAGAAACACCCTGAGATTTTTAATGATCACAGAGAGTCAGGACATCAGTTTTTTGTCTCATCTGAAAGACGGCGCCTTTTTATGGTATAGTGTCCCCTTCACTGTACTGGGGCATTAGGACCCACATGGACCACAGGGTGAGCGACCCTCACCGGCCCCTCCAATAATTCTTCCAGCTGCATCCTGAGCTTTCCCAGGAGTCTCCCATCCAGGTATGGACCAGGTTCGCAGCTGCTGAGCTTCAGTTGCCAGGTGTGAATTGTAGGGTGATGTAGCTGCTGGCTAAACATGCTGTATCTTTATTTGTATCCCCTGTGCACTTTATTCCTGTTCTTGATTTCCTTGACACTGTGGAAACAGAGGTTCCATATCTGCCTCAGAATCTCTTGGCAGGCTCTTATCTTTTACTTTTTGTGCAGAAAACACCACAAACCTTGCTTTTATCCCTTGCCAGAAAGCAGCAGGAGGCAATCTTCTGATAAAAGTATCAAACGCCCCTTCAGACTAGTGGGCCCATAGCCTGCTGTCCTTTATAAATGTGAAGGGTGAGAGGAGGCTTTTGAAATGAGGATGCTCTGCTGAAGGGCCTCTCTGCCTGCTAGGAAAGTTCAAGCTGTGGTAGAAGCAGGTTAAAGACGAGCTCTCATAATGGATGTGGGGCTTGTATGTGCAGGTTTCAATACCTCTCCATCTGTTCTGGCCCTGAAGAATCTCTTCGGTGCTTTCTACTTGATTTCTTTCAATTCGTAACATGGCAGGAAATAAAATAACACAAGTGGGGTTGAAAGGGCCTTGTTCTGTAGAAGCCTGTGTGTGTTCTGATTACTTTTTAGTTCTTGCAAGCACTTTCATGGCTTTGTTCATCTCTCTACACTTGTTTTTCAGCATTTTGTGCTGCAAAAATAGAAGAGACAAAAATATCAGTTAACGTGAAATAATTGAGGTGGCAGCCAGGATGTATGTTCCCACAGACTATTAACCTCAGCAGCTCTTGTGGCTGTGCAGAAATCCCCAAGGACAAGATGACTGTTGTGTGAGAGAGCACAGGTCCAGTGCAGCCTGACATCGTCCTTCACTTCTGCAGTGCTTGCATGCTATTGTCACTTCAGCCCAAAGGTAAAAATAAAATCCTCCTTGCAGTTTTAAAGGTTAATACAAACAAGAGGGTGTTTTGGGTAAGACACACCCCTCTTTCACTGGATACTAATCCTGACCAGGCTTTATAAAAAGGAAACTCATGTTTTTATAAAAGCATTTTTGTATATTACTCAGTAGTGAGCTCGGTCTTTTAGAAGACTTCACAAGCTTTGCTAACGTTATTCAAGAACTGATCAGGTTAACGCTGAGGGATGAGTAATTTTCTCTGTGATTGTGAGGATTTGGCAATCTAAGTTGTAAATCTAGAGCCCAGCAAAATACATAAGCCGATAATGTTTTCACACCTTCCGAAAACTGGATGTCACACGTACAGAGACACTCACGCAAAAGCCACCATAATTCGCAAATGGTTTCATCTTCTTTACTTAAATAAAGTTGCTAATTGAACTGAAGTGGATCTGACAGTGAATTGATGTTCTTAAGATGCAGTAACATTGCACCACCACTGAAAAAGACTGAGGAGTCAAGTTGTTGCCAGCTGCAATTTCTCACTGAAAGGCTGTCAGATATGATTGCAGTGAATCACTCATAAGAAAATCGCATTTTCCACTGTGTTACTTCGGAGGTATGAGCTGAAATTCAGTTTCGGGTAAGGCCTTTTAGTCATAAATTGTTCTTCTTCCTGAACAAGGTTCCTGCCTGTTAGTCTTCTATCTGTGTCTTCTAGTCAACACACTTCAATGTGATCATATTGGAGGGTGATGTTTAAATATTAGAACTTTTAAAAGCCAATGGGCTGTACTTGGATTGTTTAAGGTGCCTTGATTAAAGACTGCAATAATGTACTGAATTCATTCTTCTGAACGGCTTGCATCACTGGTTGTAGGATGAAAAATGTGGCTGTAATATATCATGGAGCAATCAGAAACACATTTCTCCCAATTATGCCTGGTACCTTCAGTTCATTAAAGACACCATTGTTGGCTGCTGGGTAAATTATGCAGCACCATTAGAAAAACCATTAGGCTTCATCCTGCTGCTAAGCAATTA